ATTTCGAGAGACAACTATGATAATACGATGTTCTCTTTTCTGTGAACAAAATAAAAGCACGTTTAAATTAGCGCGATAACCGTGTAGGCTGTAGGCGAACGCGCGTATTATTATTGCAATCAAACCATGTAAAACGATTGCTTCCGCATCGATGGCACGATCGCGCGCCGCACGTGTTCGTGCCGACTTTGATGCAGTGTTATTATTGTTAATCAATAAGAATAGAGAATATGAATTCAATAATAACGCATAATTGAGATTTATTGGAATGCGTGAATGCGAACGCGCTCGTTTATTGAATTATTTTAACTCAATGCATACACGGCGCGGCGTATCGGAAAACGCGGCTCACATCGTGATTACAAGCGCAGGTGTGCCAAACATTTTTGCGGACGAAAGCACCCACATATTTGATATATATCACTCGAAAGGTGTCCCAGTTTATGGAGGTAATTTAATAAGAGAGAGAAAGATGTGTGTCTATGTGTGTCTTTGCTTGTGTGTGTGTGTGTGCAGCTACGATCCTTTCGGCACTCGGAGAATTCTCGGAAAATGCTCGAAAAGTCACGGAACAAAAATGCACATCGGCTCGTCGGCCAACCGGGTATATATTCGTGAAATCAGAAAAATGCGACTAGATTATTCTCCCGTTTCTCCCTCAGTAAAAATACGTGTCATTTATCTGACGTTACTCGCGCGCATCCTTGCATTCAAGAAATCTTTAAGTCCTTTAAATAAGAGAATTTCGCTGGAATCATATCGTCGCTTTTGGGACGCAATGCATAATGCATAATGCCCCAGAAAATATCTAATGTAATTTATATTGGTGAACATTTCTGCTTTTCCCCCCCGTCGTGTCTTTTCACGTTGTACACTTACTTAAACAAAATTTTAATCGCAAACAGGAACTTGCGCAAACTTGCTGAGATTCCTCGTTTCGCGAGAGTAAATAAAAAAAAAAGGGAAACAAATTTTTCAGTTAATTTTACAAGCAGGCGTTTATAACGTAATTTCTTTCCACGTTTAATCGTTGCCAGGGAGTATAACGTGAAAATTAAAAACTTGTAGAAAGACGATAGCATTTATCCAGCTCTTACAGTGACAAGAAATTGACGTGGCCCTGCGTGGCACTTGTTAATTAATTTCTTATTCTCAATCACCCCCGCGATATTTTATGCCTGACTTTCACTGTAAATTTATTCTGATGAACTTGTCGAGGACATAATAAACGCAATTGTGAAAATCTAACGATCTAACTGAACAAGAACGAAATATTCGGAATTTTCTATCATACAGTTGCATGGGAAGTCCTATACAAAAGATAAATGTAAATTTTATATTCCGTTTAACCCGCCGATTAAAAGTGGTCAAAATTTACAGCCGTTTTGTACGACCATACTTCTTCGTAATAACCTTCATTAAGGTAACCGACTCACCGGCTGTCAGCAACGATTGCGACGATGATGAAGCGAAAATCATTACTTCGCAGGAGAAAGCGCGAAGTGCGATCGACTGTGATACATTCGTTCATCGATAACCGATACCGTTTTGTCCGTGACATATCATACTCGAGTGGACGAATGTGCGGAATGTGTACCAGCCGCAGGTTTACGATTCGCACCTGTTTCGTCAAAAGCGACAATATTAATATCGTTTGGATTAACCATCTTAACATGCAACGTGTTTAATTTCGCGTACTCTCACCGACTTTCCAGAAACTTGCAAATGAATTTCTTTGCATATATATTTACAGTATGCATTTATGCAATTTTATACATTACTTTTATGCACGCGCATCCGTAAATAAATCATAATTTTAAAGCGGAATTCTCGATCTGATATTTATACGATATTAAAATAAATGCTAGAAAAATATTATAGCAGGTTGCGAGACGAAGCGTCGTCTACTCGAAAGATTCGTGTAATTTCCCCATTAGCGTCGCTTTTTTTTTAAAGCGCGATAGACGGATACAGTATAGTCCTTAATCTGTCGAAAGACCATGCGACACAATGCCCTCATAAAAGCGTACATTTTGACACGGGCAGCGGCCGCATAATCTTGGCTAAGCGCCAATACACGCTATTAAAACAGCCATTAAAAATCTGCATCATAATTCCTTGCATGCACGCGGGGATAAACAACATTGTCAAGCTAATTAATGTCGGGGGCACGATAGCAGAAGGAAATTAACTTTGCCTTTGTTATTCGCAATCTAATGAAGCAACTTAACTGCAAAATATACCGTTAAAAAGATCCATGATGAGCGAATTATTGCAAAACATGCGCAAATGATATTCTTTTTATTATCTATCCTGCTCTCTCGCAAAAATACTGAACTTGTTCTCCGGCGATCCGGGGTTTTCGCCTAACGCAAACAGTTACCCGTTTCTCTCCGTGGGACAAATAAGTGCCCGGTATCCTACCATTGCAGTTACAAAGGTCGTAATGAAATGTAATTTAAATTGGCGGAAAGGAAGGAATTGAGGGTGGGAGGAAGGAATCCAGGCTGCCGAGCGACACGAAAGTGTCGATGTCGATCGGCGAAACGTGACGGCGCTTTAACGAGGATTCAATTTTGTCAGCGCCTGGCCGTGTCGCGCCCGGAGAAACGCGAAAAGGAGTCGGGAACTTCCAGGGAAGTTTCTTCTCCGCCACCGAGCACCGTGCTTTTATTACCGGACGTCCGGAGAAACTTTCTCTCTCGTGCGGTTTCGACACCGAAACTTTCGCCCGCGGTGCATAACCACTTTAATCCATCCCCGCGGTCGACAATATTCCCCTCCCTCCCTCTCTCTCGTCTAGGAACTAGGAACCCCTCGGAATTTGATCAAGCAGGTAGCGCACAGCGTTCGCTGCGCGCTCGAATTTGATTCGCTTCGTCGAACCGTCGCGTTGCCGTCGGAAGTTTCTCACTTCCACCTCGTGACTCCGCTGGTAGTTAAGGGAAGACAATCACACGTCTGTCTCGGTACGTCGCTCCAATCCCGTTCTCCATCCAGAAGAACCTAAATGCATTTTGACCCTAGGAGCGACTTCCCGGGAATGCAAATATGTTTCCCGGTGATACCGCGCCGTCTACGCGAGTTCGTGTTGCGAGCGACGTGTTTCGCTCGGCCGGGGGTTGGCTTCGCCGAGACCCGCCGGAAGCGTTGGGAGGAGATAAGGCGGGAAATAAGACGGGCGCGTCTCAAGTTCGCTATTTACCTCCCAATTTGTCGCGCGTGCTCGTCCTCAATTATAAACTCCGAGAACAGTCTTAATTCCGTTTCATTCTCTCTCCCTCGGCGCGAATCTTATCGACAATTCTGGTTACGCAAACAGTCGCGTCCGAGCGATGTAATTTTCGAGAGGGAGGTTTTCCCCCTCGTCTCATCGGGTCGTGAGTCCGAGTTGTATAATTTAACGCGCAAACTTTATCGCTTTGACGTCCCAACAACGATATTCATCGTCGACTAAAGCTCATACTGCGAGCTTTCGGTACCTATGCTGCCGCTTTCGCGTGAGATTGAAGCGATTCTTACTCGGGTCGCGAACTAGTATTGCAATTCCGACGAGGCGATTTAGTGGCTCGTAGTTTCGCGGACGGTTATTGTCGAATCCCACCGCTCCTTCTTCTCCTTCCCCGGGGACAGGAGAATAAAACGGGAAATGACGTCTGTGCATTTCACCCGTTTTTTTTTCACCTGTCACATCGAGCCATCAAGTGACACCGCGCGCTTGCGATGCTCCCTCTCATTTAAATGATGGATACGCGGGAGCTATTACATTCTTTCGGGGGCGCGGTTAATCGCTCGTCAATGTCTCGCGAACTTTCGCGATAATGAAGCACGGCCTCTCCATCCAAATCGACTTTCGTTCTTATCGCGGGATGAGCGCAGCTCGGTTTGATGGATCGCGGGACCTCGCAGAGATCTGAAATGACGAGGATACGAGCCGCACGACAAGCTCGGCTCATTAATAGATCTCTCTTTCTCCCCTCTTCTTCTTTACGTCTTTTCGCTTTATTGAAATATATATAAATGTAAAAAAATTTTCTCCGACGCAGCATTAGTTTTTGAAATTAAAATCGCGTCTCTCCCGTATATTGACGCGCTTTATGTGCGAGTAAATTTTAATCATTGATAAAGCCCGACGCTGAAACGACGGAATGAGCTCGTCGTCAAATTGCACGATACTGCCGCATATGTGTTACTGCCTTAGAAGTTCCACGTTTCGTGCCTAACAGCATCTGACACGGGTGGATTAAATATTAAAGTGGCTTTACTTTGAGCGATTCGTCTGTCGCTCAACGACACATTTATAAGTTAACGGTTATAGCAGTCGATCCTAAAAGTCTTGTAAAGAGAAAAAACTGAAAGGTTATAAATAAATGAGCCTTTTAAAGCACCTCTCCGAAAGGTATCCTCGAAACGTAACGTCTTTTTTCTTTTGGAGCTTCGGAACTGCGCAAAGTTCTATATCAAGATTGTCAAATGTTGATGTAAGGTAATGTATTGTTTGGTGATGAAATGAGATGTTTGCTGAAGAAACAAAGATTTAGAAAAGCTAGCTCGAAAAATCACGTGCGCTTGGTAGAAATTGAAGAGCACTTTTGCAAAAGAAAATCCCTCATGTGCTTCCAATACTCTCTGAAATGTGGGCCACTTACTTAGAAGTCAAATTGATCAACTTCACTTTTTGTAAATTTTTTAATTTTAAAATACTAGAGTATGATCAGTTTATAACTTTATCAGTTATATTTTTCTATTTTTTACTTTATGATAAAATTGATCAATTTGCTTCTAAGAGTATAGTCAAATTTATGAGAATATTCCTTTTCTAAATTGAAACCCTTTTAGGACTCGACATTTCGCGTGTATCTAATTTCGAGCGCGTTTTATCGCGTTTGTTCGGAGCACGAAAAGAGAGAGAGTGCGTAATAAATAAATAAATAATTCGTATTGAGCGATAAAACTTTTTCCCGGGACGAGTGGGAGATTCAGGCCGCGATTACTTTCAGACGAGACAGAGCAGCGGCGCGGTGGGAAACGGCGCGGAGGAACGAGAAGGCACCAGCCCTCTGGACTGCACCCCACGGACGTCGATGACGATGGCCATGACAACGTCGGCGCTGCCGATGCAACCGATCTACGTTTCTGCGGGATCGTGCTCCGTCGCCGACGTCCCGAATCTGCAACGTCGGCGACTACGACAGCAGGAACCGCAAGAATTATCTCTAACCCGGCCGACGGACACGGCCGCCTCCTCGTCGTCCATCCGCGACGAGCCCGTCGTCAGAACCCCGCTCTCCGCGAACGTCCTGCTGTCCCTGCCGGCTTCGCCGAAACGATCGTCGGCGAGTCACTCTTCGTCCAACAAGACGCCCATATCGAAGTCGCAGATGAAAGGTGAGTCGAGATTTAAAATGTCTCTTTCCAGTTCGATTGCATCATTAGAGCCAAACTAGACAGGGAGCGACAGAAGAAGGGAGAAAAGAGGAAATAAAGGTATAATGCCAAAAATTTGCTTTTTTCTCTCTTTCTTTCTTTTTAACGCCGAATGGCGATATCCAAATGGCGCGCCATGAATCTCGTCTGGACTTTAGGCAATTTCATTTGTCGTGTGGCAAGTTTTTTGGCTGATTGACAGAGAGAACAAGTTTTTCGAGGGTTCGGGAAATTCTCCGTCTGATGGCCAATCGACACGCGCCGGAAAAACTTGTCGCGCGACACGTGAAATATCAGACTTATCCGTCACGTATTCGTCCTTTATTCGTTCTGAAAGGGGCAGGTAACTTTTCTCGCATAATTAATCCTATCCACAAGGACTATCTATTCCATCTCACTATCCTATCACAATGCTAAACATTTAATATCGAAAATCTATCTACTTTATGATATAAGATCCCTCAATATTTTCTCAAAAATTGAAGTTTTCAAACTCGAGAAGAAGCGCTCTTCAAAATCGTCTTTCGAACGAATACTCGTGCGACTATACGGCAGGGAAATATAAATGTAATAGATTAATAATTAAAATTAATAACCAAAAATAACATGGTTTAAAATAACAATTTCGTTTACAAGCGATGTGCGAGCAAAATTTCCTCTCATATTTATCAACTCGTATTATATTATGATATCAGGTTTCGCATGGCAAAATGTAAATTTGTACTCTTTTGATCGTCGCGTCAGATGCTGGATGATGGAGATACTCACGGCGCCGGATTCAATTTGGCACGCTTGGTAAACGGAATATCTCGCCTGTTCGGTGTCATCGCTTCGTTAATCCCGATAAAACTACGCTCGGCTATGCCGCGGCGTATGTGACTTCATTCAACATTGCGCGACCATTATTTTTCCCCGCCGTTATCGCCGTCGTACACGACGAGTGCACGTTCGAGAATCGGATATCAGGCCAATTGATCGGTCAGATCTGCACACGAGATAAATAATTTCACGTTTTACGTACATGGTGTCATGCAGATGTCGAATGTTTTTTTCGCGTTTTTTTTTTAATTTTCACACGTCGTCCATCATGCATGCGACTTGTTTTTCTTTATGCCTTTATAAACATCGCTATTGAACATTACATTCCACTCGCGTCAGAGTGGATGAATAGCGATTTCTTCAATCGACGTCAAACAAATTGCATTGTAATGCCTGTAATAACGTTTCACATTTTGTGGTACTCATCGCTTTTTTTTTGCATTTAATTATTCGTACTAAGCCGCCCGTAAATGTATTCTGTGGCAGGTCCACAAAATCAATCTGGAAAACCATTTAATCAAAGAATCAATGCTTTCAATTTCTTTTTAAAAGAACCCAACGCGAAAATATGCGAATAGATGGACGATTTTCTCTTCCATTTCAAATATCTTTTTTTCCATTTCGTGGCAAGAGTTTTGTGCGAGATGACATTAATTCAAACGTATTTATCGACGAAACTGAATAACCAATCTCCTGGTAATTTTTATTACAATGTCGTTACGAGCTCTGAACAAAGTTCTTTCTTTCAAAGCTACAATGCTGTTAATGAAGGAACTCGTCAATATTTTTAATACAACTTATAAGACGGGCGCTTATCAGTTATGCCTTAAATATATTTTAGTTTTCACGAAACTCATCTAACTATAGACGAGCTGTTTGTTCAACTTTGTTTTAAATGGCGTAACTTTATATACGGCGCGATCGATTATCCCTCAGTTTCATCACATTAAAGATATTCCACGAAACTTCATTGAAAGCACGATCTCACGATTCATAAAGATAAAATTTATGTATATTAAATTTCATTCTTCAGTCTATTTTGAAAAACCCGTATTTTTCTTCTTTCCACTGATTTTCTTCTTTTAAGACCTGTTCGTGGAAAAATGTCTAAGAAAATCACGTGTCTTCGTATACTTCGCCGATACGTACTTTGGCGAGCGTAATTTCTTCCGGAGAACTGTTACGTCTTTATCGCGTTCGTAAAACGGTCTCTCTTAAAGCAATTATCGTGTCACTACACTATTATCCGCTTTACCAATTGGCACTGTAAATAGAACTGTAGATAAATAGATAAATGAAGAGAGGAAATAAAAGAGAGAGAAAGAAATACCACCATTAAGGGTTATATATAAAGTGAATTATACAAGTATAAAATTAATTAAAGATTTTTCCCTCTCTTGCACTAATCTTTACCTCAAGTTATAATAAACATCTGCAATTCAAGACAATTCTACAATTATTTTTGTAGTTTGTTTCAATATTTCTCAAAAATGCTATTTAAAATTACTTAATCAATGCAATCTGTAGTATCGAAATATTTATACCAGAGTTAATTAGTTAAATCTTAAGATCATAAACAAAGTCGACTAAGTACAGTAATGAAACGATTCTGAGACCGGCATTTTTTTCGTTCTTGTTGAGGAGCTTGTTTTAAAAAAAATGTGATACGATTCAATAGATAGATCGTGAGACTATATAATATTCGTGAAATCATTTATGTAATCGTGATTCAGTATTTGAGAAACTCACAATTGTCAGATGAGACTCGTCTTGAGACACAGTCTTAAATTTCTTTTTTGTGCGGTTTATTAACAATCAAAATTCTTGGAAAGAAGCCACAGTAGCGTAGTAAATTGGGAGGATTTCGATATGAACTACCAGTTGGCGACAGCTTTTTTCGAAGCTTCTGCGGAGACTGAAATGGAAAGAAAGAAGCAGAAATGACGAGAGCGGTACCATCCCTGACGAGGCGGAAGTCCGTAGATAAAGAAGAAGGATCGTTCTCCACATCCCGTTTCGAATCCTAGCCTCGGTTGATTCCTGCGCCAAATGCGCGATCGCTGAAATCGCGCAATTCAAGACAATACGTAACTGTATTTCGTGCGACGCGCATCTGAGGCCAAGATTCGAGTAACGGCTATAAATAAGGACGTAAGACGCGATCACGTCGATTACATCGCGACTCCGTAGTTTCCGTTCGCGAACGGGCAATTGTGCGTGGATACGCGCGCGTATAGTGCATCGCCAGAACCAACGGCGCGGGAAACGAGGCCATTAAATGATCGAGTCAAGCACCGTCGAGCCGAATCCGTACCGGCTTGTACACGTATCTCGTCAAATTCGCTCCGGGAATTCGACCACTAGCTACCCTCAGTCAGTTAACCGACTCCGTCGGTGACTCTGAAAGGGCAATTCCGGAGAGGACGCTTGACGTTAGTGGTCGGTCGGGATACTTAAGTGAAGTGAAAAATTCAAAGCGCATAATGCCCAATTTAATTATCGTAGAAGTAGCAGATTAGAGAAGAATTACTTAAAAATTGTAAATGAGAACAATATGACGGAACATTTTACGCGCGACCGTACGATTTTCTTCGGGGACCGAGGAAGGTCGAAGTTGATATTAGTTATTTCCAGTGAAGAAAAGCAAAACGTATATTGGAGTTGCTCGCGCTGATTTTTTTTTCCTTTTCCCCAGAATTCAGGGAGGCCTTCAGGCTGTTTGACAAGGACGGCGATGGAACTATCACGAAAGAAGAACTCGGCAGGGTTATGCGTTCCTTGGGACAATTTGCGAGAGCGGAGGAGCTGAGAACGATGCTGCAGGAAATCGACATTGACGGTGAGCGGCAGCTCTATTATCCATCTTAGATTACTTATTAAAGTTGCAAAGAGTTTTGGACGGCAATGTTTTTCCGTTGTATTTGACGCTTGAAAAGATCATATTATCTATTATCAAATGAATATATTATTATTAATAATTACGGTCGAATTTGTTCAAACCAGGGAAGGAGGTAGGCTGATATGCAATCCATATTTATTATTTCGAATAGCTCGGTGGAAATCAAAATATTGCAATTTACCAATACGCAATATAGTGTTTATTTTGAATTTAGCGTTTGTCATCGGATTTATCCAATTAATATAGGAAGGAAGAAATTAGGCTAATATGTAACGTAATTGTATTTGACATTTGAATTGTTCGATGAAGATTTAAGCGCTGCATTTTATCGAAACGGATGGTATTGACCACTGCTGATATCGCGCGATACCACGCCTTTTGTTTTTTCAATCTGCGTATTTTGAAAACCCCTCTTCATGTGCCACGTGTCGCTGAATAGATTACGTAGGTAATATAATATCTGATAAAAAAAAAACAAAATACTGATTGACCAATATTTGCAAATGAAATATGAATAGATTGAAGGAGAAATTGACGATAATGATGTATCAATACTACTGTTTATTATTATAATATTATATTGCATTGCATCATAATATATTATTACTATAACTGTTACATGATAATGCGTAAATTTATGCAATGCGGCGTATGACTTTATCTCATGTTACCTTAATTTTACTCGCAAATGCCCGTGCGACGCAGCGTCTTAAGCAAAATAATCGCGGCGCCAACGATCGTTATCCGGGCACGAACGTTAAATCGCTATTTCCGCGGCGCGAGTTGCATCGGGATTACGAAATAATCATAAAATAAGGTGCACCAGTATTCCCCGAGTCATCGCCTGCGCGACGAAGCGAGCTGTTAGTAACGAGGTGGTAGTATCACTCGACGACGCCAAAAAGTTTACCCCATCTTCTCGCGTATTCACCCATTTCCACGGTCGTCCAGGCGCAATTTCGTGCCCGTCGGCAGATCGCCTTAATTGCAGCTAATTCTCGCGAAACGTTCCGACAATAGCCACAAATTCTGGGAAGAGGGAACCCCTTTATTACGAGCCCTTTATTATGATCCTCCGACACTGGCCGATCCTCTCTTCCACGCTCTTACTTGATTCCCGAGGATTCTCCTTCACCTTCGCCCCGAACTCCATCTCTTTACGCCACTGTTTCCAATTTTGTGGGCGGCCGCGCTAGGATCTACGTAACGTATCCTTCGTGTTTCAGTGCTCCTTCAGGCCTTTCCCTCCGTGTTTACGCTCGGCAGCAATGTTTCATTGTCTGACGAAAGGGTCCGCGCGAAATCCACGTCGATACCTCTCTCGCAAACGAACTCGTTACATGTGGCGCGAATCACGGTTTTCGAAACATTTCCGATAGCGTATTTATGACCGGAACACCGTTTCGGCACCAGAACATATCTTATCCGGCGAAAATAAGCAGGGACGAGTGAAATGGGAAGGAATAGATATCTTTTAAATCACGGTACCTCTTTAGCTATCCATTAGCTTTTCTGCGAAAACTCTAAATTATTTATTCATGAAATTCATCTGCGATTCATCGAATAATCAGACTATGTAATCATTATCGATTTTTGTATAGTGATTGTATGTGTTTTAAAATACTAAAACTGTTTGGAATCCTACAACAGACGATACTGTATCAATACTTTTCCTGTCGAGAAATTGCTATTGATGATTCGAGAGCGGAAGCGAGTCGGCGTATTGACGCCGAATGGTGCAAGTTCTCGTACCTGTTGCTAGTCCGCTCCACAACGGTTGGCTATTACCAGTCATTTTCTCTGTAATCAGAAGAATTACGGGATAAAGCCCGCGATGAAAAACGACCGCTCGCAGCCTCTCGAAAAAGAACTCGACAAAACGAGTTTCGGGGGAAATTCGACGCTTTCTGCTCGAGTCTGCGCTCGCGACAAAAGAATTGAGAGAAAAAAGCGGAACGATTGTTAAAATCCTTTTAAGAACATCGCGGGGTGTAAATCGAAGTCTCTGGCGTGTTCCAAAGAACGAAGTAATTACGGTCGCGGGAGTAAATTGTTTCGGGGACAGGCATTATCCATCGAGATGGAATTTACTCGCGCAAGCAGCGCACCCGTGCTTTTTAGCGAAGCTCCGAAAGTGATAATTCCCGACACCTGAGGATTAGGTCGGCGCGCGGAAAAAGATTCCCGCGTTTAACTCTTGGGCCCGGACTCTGTTAATGCGCCGAGAGCGATTCGCAAGAAGGGGATTTAAATCCGCGGATCGGAGAAGAAATATTTCCGTGGTCGTACGAAAATCGCGGTTGTAAAAACAAGGAGCCGGACCGCGGGCCGGCCGACCGTGGCAAAAGAGGCAGCGATGCGAATCTCGATAATCGCCGAAGCAGTCTCGTCCCGGGGATATTTCCGAGGGAAATTACTTTTCCGTTTGAACCGCTCGAATCCGTGCTCCGCGTACCGTTACGAGAATAGATACGGTTTCGCGAGCCGTCGTCGTCGATCGCGAATCGTGTGAACCGCGCGTGAAATTATCCGCCCCCGCATTGAGACTTTACTTGATATAACTTACCCGCAATTCTGTGAGAAAGGATAATGTAACGCGCGCGGCGTCGTTGATAACGATTTTTCATTATTTTCAACATGGCCCTTCTCAGCGATGACGTTTTTTCCCTGTCGGAAAAACACGATTCTTTCGTATAACACTTCTTTCTGCGTTTCTTATGAAAATGAATTTTTGACCTAGTCGCACGATTTGGAAGTCGCTCTTGCTCGAGGTACATGTTGCTGAGAAAAAGAGCACGGAAAGAGGAAGTTGAGCGAGAAGTTTGCGAACTCCGGTACTATTAAATAGATTGCGCGCGCGGGAAGTCTTAAGAGTTTTCTCATTTTCTTTATTCCAAAAAATTCCATTCTTGCAGATAACAAGGCACTGCATTGACACCGTTGATATAGCTCGTTATATCATCACAATTGTAGCGTTACAATGAAGATGATAAACAAATTGCCGTAGCTTGCCGTTATTTTCAACAATTATCATAGCCATTGTTTGAATCATACAAGTAATGATATAAAAATCTTAAAACGTGTTCCTAAATATTTTTTTTCAACGTACGAAATATTGTAAAAAATTACAACAGTTAAGAAATTTCCATAAAACACCACTAAACTTCTTTCCTCAGCGAAATCTTATTCCGCGGAATAAAATCGCGAAAAATTCTTCGACGCCTGAGAACAGCGACTTTAAGAAGTCGTTGTATGTCACGTTGTACTCACGCTAATAGCGAGTCGTTATCGTTACGCGGCTATCGTGGCTGATGTAACTATTATCGTTATACTGCTACGATTGGCGTGGTTAACGTCGGTTTTTCGCCGAGGGCTCTCTGGCAGAAATTTACGCGTTATTATAGCGATCGACCGAAAAAAGATTTTGCGAAGACGTCCCGTTTAATTAATCGATCCGTCTGTTCTGCAAATGAGATTCGATAGCGAGCGGGATGCGAGCGGCCGTTGCTTAATCGCGCCGTATAATCCGTTGAACTTTGACGAAGAAAGAACTCTATTAAGCGCAGTGGATGCCCTCGTCGGCCGCGCACTCGCGACCGAGTACGTCGGAACAAAGCGATATTCAAATTTCAAGCGAATAATTTGCAGGAGATTGCCACTCCTTCCGTGCGATCAGTTCACCAACAGCTTTAATAACACTTTAATTCACTCCACGATGGCAGACTCAAGATTGCCGACTCTCAAGGTTCCGGGCGGTTAACGTAAAATGCATTTGTCATGTATGTAGCTCTTTAATTGCTCGCCACTCCTTCTCTTCCCGATGACGTACATAATTTCGACACCTGGTGAAATAACGGCAGAAATTTTTAAACGGGTGATTAGAGGTGCGTGTCCGTACAGAGCGAGTCAAATGAAAACGAAGCCCAATATCTGCCGCTTCAACGGGATGATGCGGCTCTGTTTCTACGAATACGAAAGACAGTGGTATCCGCGCATTACATACGTTTCACGTTGACGTTCTCTCTCGTTTGCTATGGAACGCGATAGTAGTCTGAGTATGCGTCAAAACGAAGACCCTGAGAGCCCTTCTATAGCGGTAATTAGTATCTACGTTAAATGCCATGCACACGTATACACACATCGATGACGTGAGTGTTAAATACGGCGACCAAAGGCGGCTCGCAGCATTTAATTAGGCCGGAATTAGCTCTTTATTGAGCAGGACCATGTGATAGTCAGCTTTGACATGTGCCTCTCCGCTTGCATTATTTGAAGAGCGACTCGATGAAATCGTATCAAGATAATCCAACAAAGCAGAATCTATGTGAAAACATATGCATGCGTTGGATGCCGCATTAAAAGTTCGATATCATACGTGCGTTAAGAAATGTTAAGGAACGATTAACTGAATACAAATAATTATTGAAATAAATTACGATAAGATAAAATAAAATCTGTTGTATACTAAATATAACATAGAATCTTTATAAGAAGATCGACAGTACTCGAGTTATTTTGATTTAATTATTGAAAATTGAAGCACTCTTATTGATGTTGAAGCACCCGAACTTTAGGAAATTTTATGAAGCCTTTTAAGTATCCGTACGAGTATATAAACGGCATCAAATAACTAACATCCCGATACCTTGCGAGATCGAAACGTACTCGTACTCGTAGGATCGCCGTTCGTTTGCCAGGCAATCGAGCAAGGCAATCAATCGCGGCGAAGGATTCATTTGATTTGCCTGGTAATCGAGATGGTTGCCTTCTTATTTCCTATGAATGAATTTCGTGACTTCGCGGGACTCCCAGTCCCACTCTGTCGCGGTAAGCGGAAGCGTTTGACGTCGTTCCACTGCGGCAAAAGCGAAAGTTCTCAAGAAGTTCGGGCACGTACACACGGCGGAGAAGTGAGGCGGGAATCCGTCGGGAACGCGGCT